GACTGGTCGGTCGAAGCGGCTCAGTCCAGATGCTACCAGCTAACCCCTGGCCGGTATCGCCCAGTGCACCTGCTGTAGCAGGTATCATCCCTGCTGGTGGGTGCAGCTCCCGCATGGTCCCTCGTTGGAGGCTTGAGCACGGATGTGGCTGCTACGGGGTTCCCCGTAATATACTGTAACACAGTTAAGGACAAAAAAAAAGGCCTGAAAGGCAGCTTGTCCGGATTCAACAGGTATTTAATTTACTAATTGAATTGGTTGGGCTTAAAAGAATTAATAGCCGTTAAAAGATAATAAAAAAGGCCTGACAATGATAATAATATAAAAGGCCTGAAAGGCCATCCTGTCATGATAATAATATAAAAGGCCTGAAAGGCCATCCTGTCCAGATTTGACAGGATGATTATTGAATTGGTTAGGCTTAAAAGAGTTAGCCTTTTTTTTTTTTTTTTTTTTTTTTTTAACCTGTGTCTTTTATGCGCTCAAGACAGTTATTACATAGGCTTTGGCGGCCGACTGTTCGTAACAAGTCTTGGGGAGGCCCTCCTCTCACATACAGAAGGGATGTGAGACACCACTCTTCATTTCATAAAACCAAAGCCTAGTATCTTAAGAAAGACAGTTGTTACAGTAGCTACGTTTGGAGAGATCTTGAAGGTGGATTTATGGGATTTTCAAAGAATTACAATTATTCTGCTATTTTTTCTAGCTATTGATTTTTATCTATAGATGATATATTCTTATCTATAGATGATATATTATAAATCGATTTTATCTCATATCAATAAAGTTAAATATTAATATATTCAATGAAAAAAAAATATAAATAATTCATGAAATTGTTTTTTCTCTAAAAATCCATACTTAACGTATGACGTCCTTTATACATGAAATATTCTGCAAGGGAAGCTCCAGTATAAGGTGCAAGGTATAAAATTCAAACGAAACAATCATATCAATAAACAATAAAAAAAATTTTGATTTTAAAAATTCAATTTGGCAAAAAGCTGTTCTTTAGGGCCCCGAGGGGTCCCCCCCCGCCCCCCCCTGGATTGAGGTATGTACTATGAAGGTGCCTGACCCGATGGTGTGCAAAAGACTGTTGGCCCACAATGTGGCTTCTGGCCTTCCCATTTCTCAGCCTAAAAAAAAAAAAAATCACATTTGATTGATGAAGTCCTTAAGGCCCAGTGTAGATGGGCTAAAATCAAAGGGGTAAACTTTCTCTTTGGAGGACCCGACGGGGTACTAACAGTCTTCCAAGACCGTCCCAGAAGACAAGGCCAATGATAAGAAGAGAGAAGAAGAAAAGGAAGAAAGAGTCAAAGCATAGGGATGGTGGTCACAGTCATCCAAGACCGTCCCAGTGAGCAGCGCTTGAGGGGTTTTCAGCTTTTGCAGCATACTTGTCATAGTGGAAGTGAGAGATTCAATTTGCAGCTATCACACTCTTAGGCATGGTGATCAGACTCCATAACGAAGGAGTATGATGGGCATATACAGTCTTCAACGGAATAGAACGCCCCGTCGTTATAGCTGTATCTAGACTGAAAGCTGCCCCAAATACAGCTGTATTGACCAAGCGTTCTATTCGGGTGCTCTTTGCATGACAAACAACAGGCTGAGCGCTCAGGACAGGTGGGGAGCTTTGTTATGGACCATTTGAAAGCTCGAAACGAGGCCGTTTGGCATGGAGACCTGAGTCCTGACTGAGTTGCAGCTCCATGCCAAACAAGCACTGAGACTGGCAATACAGATAGCTTGGTGGCGAAAAGTTTCCTCGGCTTCCTCGCCGGCCAAGGGTATTGCTTGGTCTCAGGATCATTGGGCGGCTCACCCTTTGTTGGTCAGAGTAGATAAAGTGTCTTCTTCTTTTGCATTTGGTGCCCTTTTGTGTCCCCCGTAGATTTTTTGCTGGTGCTGTTCCTTTTGCCGTGGGTGCCTTGAGGAGGGTTTCCCCTCTTGTCAGGGCCTGTGCTGGTGTTGACGGATGGGTGTGATGACCGTGTGCACAGGGACGGGGCTCCGAGCTTCCTCAGGCTGTGGGGCAGGACAACCCGGCTGTCCTTGTTATTGGCTACTCTGCTGATGTAACTTGCCTTGGGCACTGGGCCCTTCTAATACAATTAAAAAAAAAAAAAAAAAAA